ATGGGGGTGACGGGGGTGATGGGGGTGATGTGATGTGATGGGGGTGATGGGGGTGATGGGGGTGATGTGATGTGATGGTGGTGATGGGGGTGATGGGGGTGACGGGGGTGACGGGGGTGATGGGGGTGATGGGGGTGATGGGGGTGATGGGGGTGATGGGGGTGATGGGGGTGACGGGGGTGATGGGGGTGATGGGGGTGATGGGGGTGATGGGGGTGATGGGGGTGATGGGGATGATGGGGGTGATGGGGGTGATGGGGGTGATGGGGATGATGGGGATGATGGGGGTGACGGGGGTGATGGGGGTGATGGGGGTGATGGGGGTGACGGGGGTGATGGGGGTGATGGGGGTGATGTGATGTGATGGGGGTGACGGGGGTGATGGGGGTGATGGGGATGATGGGGATGACGGGGGTGACGGGGGTGATGGGGGTGATGGGGGCGATGGGGGTGATGGGGGTGATGGGGGTGATGGGGGTGACGGGGGTGATGGGGGTGATGGGGGTGATGGGGGTGATTGGGGTGATGGGGGTGATGGGGATGATGGGGATGATGGGGGTGATGGGGGTGATGGGGGTGGCGGGGGTGATGGGGGTGATGGGGGTGATGGGGGTGATGGGGGTGATGGGGGTGATGGGGGTGATGGGGGTGATGGGGGTGATGGGGGTGATGTGATGTGATGGGGGTGATGGGGGTGATGGGGGTGATGGGGGTGACGGGGGTGATGGGGGTGATGGGGGTGATGTGATGTGATGGGGGTGATGGGGATGATGGGGATGATGGGGGTGACGGGGGTGATGGGGGTGATGGGGGTGATGGGGGTGATGGGGGTGATGGGGGTGATGTGATGTGATGGGGGTGATGGGGGTGATGGGGGTGATGGGGGTGATGGGGGGTATGGGGGTGATGGGGGTGATGGGGGTGACGGGGGTGATGGGGGTGATGGGGGTGATGGGGGTGATGGGGGTGATGTGATGTGATGGGGGTGATGGGGGTGATGGGGGTGATGGGGGTGATGGGGGTGATGGGGGTGACGGGGGTGATGGGGGTGATGGGGGTGATGGGGATGATGGGGGTGATGGGGGTGATGGGGGTGATGGGGGTGATGGGGGTGATGGGGGTGATGGGGGTGATGGGGGTGATGGGGGTGATGGGGGTGATGTGATGTGATGGGGGTGATGGGGGTGGCGGGGGTGATGGGGGTGATGGGGGTGATGGGGATGATGGGGGTGATGGGGGTGATGGGGGTGATGGGGGTGATGGGGGTGATGGGGGTGATGGGGGTGATGGGGGTGATGGGGGTGATGGGGGTGATGGGGGTGATGGGGATGATGGGGGTGATGGGGGTGATGGGGGTGATGGGGGTGATGGGGGTGATGGGGGTGATGGGGGTGATGGGGGTGATGTGATGTGATGGGGGTGATGGGGGTGGCGGGGGTGATGGGGGTGATGGGGGTGATGGGGATGATGGGGGTGACGGGGGTGATGGGGGTGATGGGGGTGATGTGATGTGATGGGGGTGATGGGGGTGATGGGGGTGATGGGGATGACGGGGGTGATGGGGGTGACGGGGGTGACGGGGGTGATGGGGGTGATGGGGATGACGGGGGCGATGGGGGTGATGGGGGTGATGTGATGTGATGGGGGTGATGGGGGTGATGTGATGTGATGGGGGTGATGGGGGTGATGGGGGTGATGGGGGTGATGGGGGTGGCGGGGGTGATGGGGGTGATGGGGGTGATGGGGATGATGGGGATGACGGGGGTGACGGGGGTGATGGGGGCGATGGGGGTGATGGGGGTGATGGGGGTGATTGGGGTGATGGGGGTGATGGGGGTGATGGGGATGATGGGGATGATGGGGGTGATGGGGGTGATGGGGGTGGCGGGGGTGATGGGGGTGATGTGATGTGATGGGGGTGATGGGGGTGATGGGGGTGATGGGGGTGATGGGGGTGATGGGGGGTATGGGGGTGATGGGGGTGATGGGGGTGATGTGATGTGATGGGGGTGATGGGGGTGATGGGGGTGATGGGGGTGATGGGGGTGATGGGGGTGATGTGATGTGATGGGGGTGATGTGATGTGATGGGGGTGATGTGATGTGATGGGGGTGATGTGATGTGATGGGGGTGATGGGGGTGATGGTGGTGATGGGGGTGATGGTGGTGATGGGGGTGATGGGGGTGATGTGATGAGGATGATGGGGGTGACGGGGGTGACGGGGGTGATGGGGGTGATGGGGGTGATGGGGGTGACGGGGGTGATGGGGGTGATGGGGGTGATGGGGGTGATGGGGATGATGGGGGTGATGGGGTTGATGGGGATGATGGGGGTGATGGGGGTGATGGGGGTGATGGGGTTGAAGGGGGTGATGTGATGTGATGGGGTTGATGGGGGTGATGGCGGTGATGTGATGTGATGGGGGTGATGGGGGTGATGTGATATGGCACCTTAGGGCGCGTCACATTTAAGTGAACGGCCTATTTTTCATAGTTTTTTCAAACAAGGGTACAGCTCGGTTGACAGTACCTGAAAGCGTGCTGTACATTGTGCGTGTCCCTCTAAGACCATGCTGCACGTTCACTGACACGCACAATATATACAGTTTACTTACAAGCGAAACTATCAAAGGTTACAGAACGTTTGTGGACCAATCCCTTCCAGTTAACCCTCACTCAACTTGTAACCACGTTACCTGTATTCTGTTGTTGACTGGTACACGAGACGTCGGACATATTTCCGCTGCATGGCTGTACGTACCATTCAAGCATAGCTGTAACATTCAAAACTGAACAGATTTTGAAACAGTGCTGCGTCAACTCGCTCATATCACTGTTTGTATCTGTTACCAGACAAAAGCGGGTAACTGATATGGAATAAAAACGAGAAAACTGTACCTTTTCATTTAAACGTGACGCGACCTTACAATACTTTACAACAACTGCCACTCCCCCCACTCCCTCGTGCATGGCTCACCAGGGACTCGGTTCACACACGCGGCTAGCTTTGCTCCCACCAGTGATGCTGCAAGCTTCTGCCCTGCAGAATGCAACCGAGAGCGCAGGAGAAAGGTGCGAGGAAGCTTTGATGGCGAGAAGCAGGGCCGAAAGGGAAAAGGGGTGAGGAGGTGAAAGTATTAAGGGGGGAGAACGGACCAGCAGCAGCATGAGAGAATGAAAGAATAGAACCATATTGACGAAGCAACATACCTGTTTACTTGTTGGGTACAGTGATATACACCACGACTGCATCACCCGCTCTCTCATCCGCCACCACTGCCCCCGCCCCTCCCGCTGCTGCCGCCGCTGCTGCTGCCATCCCTCTTACTGCCAAGTCAGGTGCCCGTGCGTTGGCGGCAGAAAGAAAATCAGAGGCTGCAGGAGAGGAGGCGGAGGAGGAAGGGGCAGCCAGAAACAAACTGCCCAGGGAGAGGGAGAGGAAGAGGAGGAGGAGGAGGATAAGAGGGAAGTGGGGAGGTGTGGGGGGTTGAGAGGGTGTGAGACAGGAGAGCGGGGAACGGAGGAGGGTGAGGAAGGAGGACGGGGGAGAGGACCGGGTGTGGGTTGATGAGAAGGACGGTGGAGGCATGGCGCTGTCTAATGCTGGTGCCGGTGTTGGCGTTGACGCTGACGTTAATGTTGACGTTGACGTCGACGTTGACGCTGACGTTGACGTCACCAGGGTTACAGCACCGGTGCGTCTGCAGCAATCACGCGCTGTCACGCAACTCACTAGGAAGGTCAGCGCAGATTAAAGGCAGACGCGGCGACGAGCAGACAGCTCTCACCTCGAAGCGTCCCGCCGTGCGCGGCTCGCAGCAGAGACGCCAGCAATAGCAGCAGCAGCAGCAGCCGAGACGCGGAGCGAAGGCGAAACCGAAAGTGAGGCCGACGGTGGCGGCGCCAGCGACGGCGAGCTAATGGAGAGGCGGTCCTGAGGTCCGAGAGAGGAAAAAAGGGGAGTGACGTGAGGGAAGGGCAAGCAAGGACGACGAGAGAGAGAGACAGGGTGAAAATGAGGGGCACGATAGCCGGAATGGAAGACTCGAGAAGGGACGCTAGATTACGAGTCGCGGAAGGTACGCCGAGAAAAGGGCGGGAGCGCAACGTTTAGCGGCTGCGGCTGGAGCGGCGGAGCTACGACGTACGTCCATGCCGCTGGGTACGTATGCGAAGATTTTGCACATTTTTTTTCCGAATATAAATCTTGATTTTGAGTCATGGCGACACGTAAATGTCGATACGTACGTAAACGCGTAGCGCGCCGGACTCCGCGGCGTGTTGCAGCAGCGGCTGCGTGGCGAGGAGACGGCGGCGAGGACGGAAGAGGGGGGAGTGACGAGGAGCGATGTGGGATAGGGAAAGCGAGAGGCTAGAAGCCATGGCGGATTGGATGGGGGGAATTTACATTCAGCGGCAGCAGTGATTGACGCAGGGAATGGTTAGGCTGCCGAGGATTCTGGAGAATGGAGTCCTCGTTACTACACAGTTCATCTTGCTTTAGAGAGATTCTAAATCAATCAATTTAGACAATCACGTGGACAGCATATAAACTACACATAGCTTGCACATGGGTATTATACATTGGTACTCAGTTACGACTGCCAATGCTCTGTACATCTCCCATAGTGTACTATTGCGTTAAAAAAACTTTATGTGCATTGGTACATCCATGTGCACACAGACTTCACAGGCAACCACCCGCTGACCACACACATCCGCAACCCAAGATTGAAACCACAAATAGGAAGAAAAACCTCTCTGGAAGCAGGGCTCCCAGCCAACATTGGGAACTCACTTTCTCCACTCCCCAGGCACAGCACAATCTTTGGACTGAGCCGAGTATAAAAAAAAGAGATAAAAATCCCATACATGCATGTTGATAATTGTTTCTTTATACACCACACAGATTGAGAATGAACTGTCGATATAGCTCAGCTGCACCAGACAAATCCTTGCTTGCATAGCAGTTCCATAACAAGTGCCACAGCACCATACTATCAAGCCCTCCTAAAGACCTTCACTTGAATCCCTTCCGCAGCAGCCATGGAAACGCCGAACCTCAGGTTCGGAACCTCCTCGCGCATCTGCTTCTCCGAAAGGCGGAACACAAAGCGCCGATAGACGCGAACCATACCAATTATGAGCTGCTGCATGGCCAGCTTGTACCCGAGACACTTCCTCGGCCCCGCACCAAACGGAATATACGCACACGGAGGCCGATTCTCCCCTACAGCCTCGCCGCCGGGGAGGAACTGCTCCGGCTTGAACGCCTCAGGCTCGGCGAACAGCTTCGGGTCGTGGTGGATGCTGTAGGCGTCAACGAACAGGCGCGTGCCCTTGGGAATGGCTTGGCCGTTGAGAGTCGTGTCGAAGGTGGCTTGGCGTGCGATGTAGGGTGCGGGCGGCACAAGGCGGAGAGTCTCCTTGACCACGGCTTCGGTGTAGGGGAAGAGATGCAGGTCCTCGTAGGTGGGGAGCCTGTCTGGAATGGTTGTGTCCACCTCTCTCAGTAGCAGCGCTTCCGCCTGGATGTGAGGGTGCAAGGAGGGGATGATGCGCGGGAGAGCGAGAGCGAGAGAGAAGAGAGTAGAGAGGAGAAATGACGTGATGAGATTCGGCATGAAACGTCAAGCAGAGAACAGAATGGACCAGCGAGCAAAGGAACAAGGGCAGAGGCACAATCAATCGAAAGGCAGACAGCCGCGAATCAGTCACCGTGAATCAGTAACCATGAATCAGTGACGCATCCATCCACCCATGCTGTCCAAACATGCAATAGATCACCTTGGGGTTCTTAGCAATGAAGTAGACAACGAATCCCATGGTCGTGGCAGAGGTCTCCGAGCCAGCGAGAACCATCTCCATCGCCACTGCCTGCACCTGCTTCAACGTCAGCTTTGACCCGTCGTCCAGGCGAGTCTTGTTCGACAGCCACGAGATAAAGTCCGGCCTCTCCTCCTTCTCCCGTTCCTCTCCCACCACTGCTGCTGCTGCCTCTGATGCTTGCGCTCCTGCAGCGCTCTCGCTCTCTACCCAATCCGCACCAGCAGCAGCAGCAGCAGCAGGGGGGCTGGTGGTGGGGTGAGGGCTGTCTCGGATGGCGAGGACAGCAGCAGCCGTGTACTGCCTGGCGAGCCAGCCTGCGCGCTCAGGCGTGCCGGGGATGCACTCGAGAGCAAGGCGCAGCACGGTGCCCAGAGGGAGGTGGAACAGCTGCACCGGGGCTGACCACGGCGCATTGCTGGTATGTAGAGGAAGCAGGGAATGAAAAAAAAGGTGGGAAAGAAAGGATCAGACAAAGAGGGAGGAGGACAGGTGGGAACAAACATGAAGGCAAGCGCAGAACAGGTGGTCGGGTCGGGTCGGCTTTGAAGGCGGTGCAAGCAAGCACACACGCAAGCAAGCACGCACGCAAGCACGCAAGCACACAAGCAGCATACTGATTGCTCACCAGCCCGAGATGTTGAACTGCTCGAGAATGGTCTGCACCGCTCCTGTGAGCTTTTGAGTCGACTTAGAACTGCTTTTTTTTTAGTCAACTAAAAAGCAAGCAAGCGTGCGCGCAGCACGCTCACTCACCGGCCCGAGATGTTGAACTGCTCGAGGATGGTCTGCAGCGCTCCTGTGAGCTTGCCGCCATCGTACGAGGAGAAGCGCCGGCCAAACACAGCAGACCCCACCTCGTCCACCGACGCATGGTGGAACAGCGGCGCCACATCCACGTACCCGCCGCCCTCCCCACCCTCCCCACTCAGCCCACTCGCCCCACTCGCCCCACTCTCTCCCGCCATCCTCCCTGCGTCTTCTGCTGCCCGCACTGCTGCTGGGCGGGCGTCTTTCTCTGGGCTGGATTCCTCTGCTGCTGCTGCTGCCATGCCCTTCCCTGTCCTCACAGCCTCTGGCAAGCCGCTGCTCTCCAGTGCGCTCTCGGCCGGAGTGGCTGCATGAGCTGGTTCGACGGCAGCAGGAGAGGTGGGTTCCAGCGGTGGTGGAGGTGGAGGTGACGCTGGTGGCTCTGCCAGTGGAGATGCTTCTCCCTCTCCTTCTGTCTCGTGCTTCTGGGGCTTTAGTGCCTGCTGTTGCTGCTGGGATGGTGAGGCTGCGAGTGATCCCTGGGCGAGACTGTCGAGCTTGCCTGTGACACATGGACAGATCCACACACAGGCACACACGCACACATGCACCCACACACGCACAGCAAGTGAAGGCTATAGTGAGCAACAGCAACAACGGGGCCTTCTCATATCTGCATAAGCCATGGGCGGAGTCGCCATCTCAGTGCAGCAGTACGTTTCAGAATTGACCTGCACACAGAACCAATGCCCACCACTCAACTTCCTGCACCCACAAACGAAAAAGAGGCAACTGCTCACGGGGCTACACATTGAAAAGGAATCATTCACATCATTCACAGAGCAGCTTGGCAAGATAAATCACGCACGAAGCAGGTCGTCCATGCACTCATTAATGAGCGGGGAGTAGCTGGCGAGGCGCGACGAGTGGAACAGCGGCACGACAGCGGCGCGCACGCGGCGCCAGTAGTTGCCCTTGCCGAAAATGATAAAGTCCGCCATGACCTCGTTGGGCGTCAGAAGGAACCGGTCGTGGAACGCGTCGAAGCGCCGCTCACACACCTCCCGCGCGAGCTCGGGCGACGCGACAATCACAATAGGTTCCAGGCCCATCATGTACTTGTAGAGCGCGCCGTACTGCCGCGCCCATGCCATGTGGCATATGTGGAACTCGCGCGCGGCTATGTCGGGGATGTTGCCGACGAGGAAGCGGGATGGGGGGCCGGGGATGTGGCGGAGGCGGCGCGTGGGGGAGGTGACGAGGCGGAAGAGGAGGAAGAGGAGGAGCGCGTAGACGGATGTGAGGAGGAAGGCGTAGAGGAAGGGGGGCGAGAGGAGGTAGTTGGTGAGTGGGAGGAGGCGTGTGGGGAGGACGCGCGTGGTGATGACGTGAGAGAGCGAGGAGACGGGATGCGCGAGGGACGGCGGGAGGGACGGGAAGAGGGAGAAGAGCGGGGAGAGGAGCGGGGAGACGAAGGCGGAAAGGGCGCGGAAGGCGGGGAAGGGGGAGAAGTCGCCGGGAGAAGGGTAGGAGTTGGCGAGATAAGAGAGGAAAGAGGAGATGGCGCCTCGAGCTCTGCTCGCCGCCATGTCAGCGGAGGCGAAGAGGCCTTCCGCCATGGCGATGGGGTCGTGGTCGTGCGCACGGCCCGCACTCGTTCAAGTCTTCTTCACTCTTACGACTTAGACGCGCCGTGAACGAGAGTCTGTTGAATTCCAGGGTACTGCTTTCTTTCTGCAGGTGAATCCGCACGAAACCTCTCAACCGAACAGGATTCCTCCTTTCGTACCAAACCACGAGCGAAAGCTGCTTGCTGGAGCCAACCGGACTGGCATAACTACTTTATGCTCGCACAATGACTTCCGAACTCCAGGACTGAGGCGGTGAGATGAGATTTATGGAGCAGGCAGAGGAGCCTCGTCCAATCGACTAGCACGAGAGGACGACGGACGAGGAGTGACGCGAACGTAGCGAAGAGTAGCGCCGCACAAACAAACCGTTGCGGGATTGAACTGTGAATGAATGTACGCAGCAGCGCCGAGGCCGCTGTCGAGGCGGAGGCTGTGGGGGAGGAGGAGGAGGGAGGAGGAGGACCGGGGGTGTGGAAGAGCAGCGGTGTGCTCGAGGGGCGTGGCTAGCCAGTACAGAAGCGGTGCAGTTCTGGCGCAGTTCGGCGGGATTCGCGCGGAGTCTGGTGTAGGCCGGCGCAGTCTGGCGCAGCATGAGGTCGCGGTGTTCCTCTGCGCGCACGCGCAGCCAAGCCGAGTGTCCACGCGGGTCTGCATGTGAGCGCTGCGACGCTGACGTCAGGAGCAGCGTCGCACGGTGTGGCATGGGCGATGCATGGCGGTGGATGAGGGGAAGCGCAGCGACGGTGAATGCACTGCCACGTACGCGAGGAGGGTCGCAGGAATCATCCAAGAGAACGACGCTATGGGGATGAAGCCAAGATTGCGAAGATTGCGGGGAGGCGTGCGCCTTCGGCACTCGCTGCGCGCGCGGAGATGCTGTATAACGGGCCGTGACGTGAGCGTGCATGCGCGCGCTGTGAGGCTCGCTAAGCAGCGAGAGAGCGAGCCGGGCGGATCAAGCGGTTTGGTAGGCCCGAGTCGTGGTACTTTCTAAGTTGCGATGATGCGATTCGACAGGAAAGTACGACATTCTTCGTGCACTACTGCATGTGCAAGAGTCCAGCCAAGGTAGGGGTTGCAGCATTGGGCTCACTGAATGAGAATGCTGCTAGGGGATTAGGTTCTGCCGCTCGTCAGTGCGGTTGAGATGGTTCACTCTCGGTTCCTTACATCGCATAAAAAAAAAAAATCCCTGACTTCAGTTACAACTGTGGATGTGTACATCATCCAAGAGAAATTGCCCTTTACTTACCGAAATGAATGCGGTAGAATAATTGGAAGTAATTCTAATTAATTGAATTTCGGAATGCCTGAGAACTAGTCTCTAGATTTTTTGTTTTTTATGTCGGACATCTGTAACCATGATCCCTCAACTGACCACAACACCCAATATCGAGTACGGAAATGTCACCATCGATGTTGCCCCACTCGCTTCCACACACGACCACCATCCATCACTCTTCGCCCATTTCTCATTCGCTACCTTTCCCCCTGGCACAACCTCCTGGCTGCTCCATTAGTTCCCACTGGCTCCACTAATAGAGAGTCTCAGCAAAACTTTGTAATGTGGACAATCTCGCGAAAATCCTCTTAAGCGTCCTCATTGGTCCGCATTGGCCATGTCAGGGCGGCGTAGCGGCCTGTCTGGCCTCTCATCATCCGACAAATCCGACAGCGCCGCGTCGAAGCGCGGCGACGATGACGATCGCGACAGAGACAGGGACCCGGACAGCGATTCGCGATCCAGGGGCGGCGCCGCCAGCAGCTCGGGAAGAAGCGGCGGTCGCGGCGGATCCGGGGAGAAGGAACGGGACAGCGGCGGCGGCGGCGGCGGAAAGGGCGGAGGAGCGATGGTGCTTTTTCAGAACGTTGGCGGCTCGGTGACGTTTCTGCTGCAGATCGCGCTGCTCGCGTGGGGCATACGGCAGCTGCGCAGCGTGCTCGCGAAGCGGCGGGAAACGCGCCAGCGCAATCAGGGCAGCAGCGCCGGCGCCTCTCCCGCCTTCGCCTCGCTCTCCCCGCTCGCCGCGCTCATGATGGCGGGGTGGACGGGGGAAAGCGGGGGCGCAAGCGGCGGAGCTGGCGCAGGGGGGGCGGGGAGCAGCAGCGCGGGGGCTGGCGTTTCCGCGCCAAGCCTCACCGCGGCTGGAAACGGGGCAGGCGGGGGCGCGGGTGAAATCGGCGCAGGGAGGATAGGCGCAGGGGGCGAGGACGGGGGAGTGGCGGAAGCGGGAGGTCTGACACCAACAGCAAGAGCAGCAGCAGTGGGGGGAGCAGAAGCAGGGGCAGTATTGGGGGGGGACGGTGGAGGCGGGGGGGGATGGGGGGGCAGAAACGCGGTGGTTGTGCCTCACGCGGTGATAGATGTGCGGGCGAGGGATTTATCGAAAAGCCAGCCCATCCCGCTGCCGTCCCCACATGTTCTCAACATTCCAGGTCAGTCAGTTGCCCGTCCGTGTACCTTCATGACTTGCCTCCTCCTCCTCCTCTTCCTCCTCCAATGTCCGACGCCCCTGCTCCCCCCTTCCACCGCACTCTGCTCCTCCCCTCCTCCACGTGCTCTGTTCTCCTGCTCTGCTCCGCTTTCACCACTTCTCAACCCCCTCACTCCCCCCCACCTTCCCCTCCCGCCTTCCCCATCCATACCCCCGTACCACCTTCTATACCCAAATCGCCCCATTCCACTTGCACCTGCTATTTCCTTCCATCCCCGCGCTTCCAGAGAGCGATCTGCTACAGGCGCTGCAGCTGCCAGCAGCAGCCTGGGAGCACCGCTTCCACGACACGCGGCAGCCGGACCGCCGCCACCTGCTGCTCTTCCTCTCCTCGCACGGCAACTCCGCCCAGCGCGCCGCCACAGTCGCCGCCTCCCTGGGATACACCCGCTCCTGCGTGCTCGCGGGGGGGCTCGACGCCCTCAAGAAGTTTCTTGCTGCTTCCGCTGCTGCTGGTGCCCCTGCCCCGTCGCCTTCGGCTGGTGGTCTGGGCGGAGGGGGAGGAGGCGGGGGAGCGGGAGGAGCGGGGGGAGGAGCAGGGGGTGCTGGGTTGGCCGCAACTCCGTCGGCTCATTCTCACTCATCCGCCGCAGCCGCCGCCGCCGCCGCTGCTGCTGCTCTGGGCTCGTCCTCCTCGGCGTTGTCGTCTGTGCCCTCTGCATCGGCGGCTGCAGCGCCGTTCCACTGGATACCGTCCACAGCAGTATCAGTCAAGAACATATCCCGGGATGCAGTGGCGCTGCTGCTGGCGCGCAAGGGAGGGCAGTACCCCCACACGCTCATCCTCCAGTCTAGGCCCGCCCCGCCCTCTGCTGCCCCTCTTCCTCCCCTTGCTTCTCCCCCTGCCTCCGACCACCCGGCCGCTGCTGTTGCCTCTTCCTCTGCCCCTGCTGCTCCCGCTGCCGGGTCTGCTGCTGCTGATTCTGCCAGCGTTCAGGACGCTGGTGCTGGCGTGGGGGAAGGGGAGAAGCACGGGGTGCGAGAGGAGGGTGGGGAGGGGAGGGAGAATGGAGTAGCTGAGGGGTTGGAGGCGAGGGGGTATCCAGGGGCGGATGAGGAAGGACGAGGGGTAGATGGGCTAGGTGGGGTGGGAGGGGAAGGAAGCGCAGGAGGGGAAGGCGCCACAGGGGCAGGGGGGGGGCGAAATCGGGGAGAAGAAGGAGGGGGAGTGGATGGCAGAGGGGGAGAGGGTAGAGAGAGGGAGGGAGAGGGGGTTGAAGCAGAGGGACATGGGAGGGGAGCAGCAGCACAGGAAGGGGGAGGAGTGGGGCGGGTGGTGTGGGAGGAGGTGGGAGGAGGCAAGCCGTGGTTCTATTTGGTTGATGTGAGACGGTTCGATGAGCGTGTGCTGTATGGTGGGATACCCGGCTCCGTGCACATACCAGGTGAGGTTCATGATATGATATGATATGATTGAATGCATGATGCAATGCAGCTATCCGTGCATCCATGCATGCAACCATCCGTGCAGCCATCCGTGCAGCCATCTTTACACCAGCTGCTTGAGCCTTGCACACAGTCGACACACCCCACCCCAGGCCACTTTACCGCTCTTCCCTCATCCCTCTCCTCTCTGCTCATCCACCCGACGCCTTCTCATTCCTTTCCGATCCCTTCTCTCCCTGCTCCTTTCTGTCACTGCCACCTGTCATCCACCCCCACTGTGCTGCACTGGCCAAATTTCAAGCCGACAGAAAAGTCACTTACCCCTTGTGTGGCTGCTCGTTGTTGTGCCTGTCATGTCTGTCACTCACCCCCACCGCACTGCTGCACTGGCCGTATATGGCCATGGGAGCAGCGGAGGTGTGGCCAGTGGCACTGTCACTGGGCGAGGAGGCATGGAAGCAGCGCTACCAGTGGCCCAAGATGGAACCCCACTCCCTGCTCATCCTCCACTGTACGCTCCTCTCCTCCCGATTCATTCCTCGCTCTCACCTCACCTCCTGCCTCCTCACTTGTCACTCCCCTGCCGGCTGTCCGGCCGTGTGGCCTGTCCTGTCGCCTCTCTCACTGAATATTGTGCTGCGTGTGCCGCATGTTGTATCATTGCAGCTTTGATCCTCACACAGGTGTATGACGGTGGCCTTTGTCTTGTGGCCCCTTCGTCTCACTCCACTACTCCTCCCTTCCATCCTCCCATGCCTCTCCCTCTCTCGCCCCATCTCCCCCTCCCTCGCCCTCTCCCTCTCGTCTACCTCGCAGCCAACACGGGAACTCGAGCGTATTGGGCAGCCCAAGTGGCACGAGATGCAGGCTACAACAGGTGGGTCAATATGGTCCCATGCTCACGTGTTTCATCTCAGGTGAGTTGTCCTCAGGTGTTTCAACTCAGGCGAGTCCCCTTCAAGTGTTTCCATCTCAGTTGAAACATAGACTCCATGTTGGAATAGTTCAGGTCACCTATACTACTGCTGCCACACTGCACGCCTGCTGCAGCTACCACTCTGTGCTGCTGCTATGTGTTTGCCTGCGTCTCTTCCCATTCACACATCCCTCTTTACTCCTCCCTATCCCCATCCCCATCCCCCTCTCCATTCCTATCCTCATCCCCCTCCCCACCCCTGCATGTGGTCGGTCGTGTAGGTGCTTTGTGATGCGGGAGGGCACACACGGGTGGCGCCTGCACCCCTCTGTCTGCGTCTATGACGACTATCCCGAGGTACCTGCTCCCCTTCTTCCCCCCTTCTCTCCTGCTCTCCTGATCCCCTGTTCTCCTGCTCTCCTGCTTCTTCACCTCCCCTCTGCACCATCTCTAAGTGCCACAACACGCCTTGTGTCTAGCCGCACACCACCCCAGCCAACGCTCTCCCTCTCTATCTCCCCCTCTTCCCCTCTCTCCCTCCCCCCCTCCCTCCATCCCCCTCCATGGCCTACCTGTGGAGCAGGGGGGAGTGCCACCGGCACCGCAGTCATTCGCAGTGGAAGCAGTGGATGAGGGCATGGCAGAGCAACAGCAGCAGCACCTCAGGCTGCTCCCTCACCTTTCCCCCCTCTTGCTCTGCCTCCTTCCCTCCCTCCCCTCCTCCCTCCCTCCCTGCATGCTCTACCTGTGGAGCAGGGGGGAGTGCCACCAGCACCGCAGTCATTTGCAGTGGAAGCAGTGGATGAGGGCATGGCAGAGCAGCAGCTCAGACTGCTCGGCATTGCACTCTGACTCCAATGAAGTCCATGCTCGCTCCGCGCTTGCACACCTGCTACTGTTTGGCTGCTGCCGCTACTACTGCATTGGCTGCTGCTGCCACTGCTGCTGCTTGTGTTCTGATGCCACTGCTGCTACGGTACTTCTGCTGCTCCTGCTCCCCATGTTGCTCCAACGGTGTTGCTTTGCCAGCTGTAAACAGTGACCACGACCGCTGCTGACTCGTTCAGACTCCTGCAACACGTGGCTGCTAGCTTGAAATCGGTTCTCGCACGCTGGCACTTTTCTAAACTTGAATCATCAACAACTGCAGGAGAAAAGTTGCTATACAGATAATAATCTAAGTGCAACTACAGTAGCCACGGCTGTGCATGGAAGCAAATTCTGTAGAGATGTAATGTAGCTGACAATGTACTAGTACCAGTAATTATTGTTTACTGCAATGTGTGCTAAGGTGTGTTGGCCAGCTCCTCGCCTTCCCTCCCACCCAGTGAGAACACTTTATATTCGTTGGCCATAATGACATTACACATGGTCCAATAAACCCAACCCATAGTAGTCAAATCAAGCAAGAAGCAACATCCGTCAAGAACTAAACTACTCAGCAGCATTGAGACAGGAGGCTGTGTGTAGGGCAGTGCACACCCTTCCAGCAGTCTCCCCTCCACCCCTCCACCCCTCCTCCCCCTCCGTCCCCTCCGTCCCCTCCGTCCCCTCCTCCCCTCCTCCCCTCCTCCACTCCTCCATGTCCCAATAACCAACACACCCAGCGCATCACATCATCATACCAGATGTCATTCCGAACCGAGTCACAACTCACGAGTCAAGTCACACCATCACCTGGCTGCTTGTTTGGGCAGCGCTGGACGATGCTTGCCCAGACTGCCCTGCTACTCCTCCCGCCTCTGCTGCCATTACCAAATCCCCCGACCCTTGTTGCTGCTGCATTTGCTGCTGCTGCTGTAACTGCTGCTGCTGCTGCTGCTGCTGCTGCTGCTGTTGCTGCTGTGCAAGAATCTGTTGCATGGCCATTTGTTGCAGCACCTGCTGGGGCTGGGGGCATTGCCAAGGAAGGAGTGTGCGCACGATGCCATCACATGCCGGGAGGGAGGGTAGAAAGATGAGAAGATGAGAAGTTGAGACGATGAGAAGATGATGACAAGATGGGAAGTTGAACAGATGAGAAGATGAGAGGACGAGAAGATGGGAAGATGAGAAGTTGAAGACATGAGAAGATGAGAGGATGAGAAGATGAGAAGATGAGAAGAGCTTAGCAGAGCAGCAGGACATAGGGCAGGGCAGAGCAACCAGGGGACGAACGCGACGTGTATACGGTACCACTGAGCAGAGAGAGGGGAGAAAACAGAAAGAAAAGAGACTTCTCACCCCCCGTAACCCCGTCCGCAACTCAGCTCAACAGGAACAGTGCCCCGGTTAGCAGCACCCGTCGTTCGTTCTTCTCATCGCTGGATGGACCAAACCCAACAACCCACCCAGATGCAGCAGGCGGGAACAGAACACACAGGAGGGAGCTACAAGAAGCCAATTGGAAGGGAGGAAGGCGGGATGGGGGTATGCGAAGCCAATTCAGGGGAGAGAAGCGAGAAAGGAGACCTGGTGCAGCGCGTGCAGGGTATGGTGGGTCTGGGTACCTGCTGTGTCTGTGGCTGCGCCTGCACCTGCGGCTGCTCCTGCGTCCATGCGAGGGACGCCTGGCTCATGCGGTAGTAGGGCTCCTTGAGATCCAGCTTGCCGCTTGATGTCTGCAACACGCCCCCCACTGTGCCGTCTGGGCTCCATGCATGGGCTGCCAAGTGCGTAAAGGGGGGTTGGGGATGGAAGGGGAAGGGGAAGGGGAAGAAGAAGAGGAAGGTGAAGGGGAACATGAAGGGGCGGACAAGGGCTCCTTGAGATCCAGCTTGCCACTGGACGTCTGCAGCACTCCTCCCACCGTACCGTCCGGACTCCACGCATGGGCTGACAACGCGTTTGGGGGTGGGCATGGGTTCATTGTTATTATTTTGAACGGGGGAAGGGGAGAGGGAAGGGCAGAGGCAGAATGAAACGGAAAGTAATGAATAGGACAAGAAACCGGGGAAGCGTTTCTGAAAAGGTAGTTTATGCCATGCAAGCATGTCCTTCAACCGCGTGCTGTTGCTGTTGCGATCAAGGCGACAGTCGAAACAGCAAGCTGCCGTCTCAAAGAGAGAAGCGCAGGGAGGAGGCGAAGGAAGAGAGAGGGGGAGGGGGCGGACAGTGCAGGAACATGGACAGCATGAGGGCAGCGAGGAAAGGAAGGAGGGAGCGGGCAGAGAGGGCGCTTACTGGAGAGGGTGAGGTGGATGGTGTAGCTCTGCACGCTGTGTGCTATACGAGTTTTGAGGGGCCTCAAGAATCACTCACTGGAGAGGGTGAGGTGGATGGTGTAGCTCTGCGCGCTGTGTGCAACGAGGTGCAGGCGACCTGTGATGAGCTGGCCGGCAAAGACGTAGAGCGGCTGTGCGAGTACGCAGCGCAGCTGGTACCAGTGCGTTGTGGGCGCCCCTGGCGCTGTTGATAGCCACCTCTGCACCACACTGCGGGATCGTGGCAGACAGGCAGGCAGGCAGGCAGAGAAGCAGGCAGGCAAGAAGGCAGGCGGGCAGGCAGGAGGGCGGGCGGGCGGGGACAGGTAGGCATGCGATGGTGGGAGAGGAGGTGAGGCAGGGTGAGGGAGAGGGATGGATCGTTGACGATGTGCAGCGAAAGCGGAAGTCCAGCACAGACGCACAGACGCACCTGCCACTGAAGAGCACGTCGAACCAGCAGGCGAGGCCGTGCAGGCGCGCCGCCATGGTGGACTTGAAGGACAGCGGTATGTCCAGCTCGAACAGCTCACCCTCCTGATGTGTGTGTGTGTGTGTGTGTGTGTGTGTGTGTGTGTGTGTGTGTGTGTGTGTGCACGCATGCTCACATGCATGCACAGGTGACCAGATGCAGACGTGTGCACGCACGCACGCACAAGCACACAGAGGGCCGAAAGAATCATGACGTGAGGTGACGCAACGAGCGATGCAGGCAAGAACAAAAAAAGTAACACGGGGCAGCAGAGAGGCAGGCAAGGAGGTGGGCGAGAAAGAGCCTCCCAACCTGGAGGAGTCGTGTACGCTCTTATCCAACAATCACCTGTGAGATCACCAGGGATAAACAGGTAATTTCTCCACAAACCCAATGGAGAAAGAGTGGCAAGATGGAGAGAGGGGAATGGGGGAGTGGGGGGGAAGAGGGGGGCGAGATGGAGCGGGGTGAGGAAAAAGGGGAGAGGGAGTGAGAAGCGGAGGGGAAAGGGGAAGAGGGGCATTTGCGGGGCCGGGGTGCACCTGGATAGTGCTGAAGTCGATGGTGTGGGCCGTGCTGGGCGCTATGAGGATGCGCGGGTCAAACGCATCCACCACCGGCTGCCGTGCAAGGGCCACGGAGAGAGAGAGAGAGAGAGAGAGAGAGAGAGAGAGAGAGAGAGAGAGAGAGAGAGAGGGAGTGCGGGAGGAGGAGGAGGAGGGACGAGGGACGAGGAATGGGAGTGGGAGGGGGAGGAAGAGGGCGAGGGGGAGCGGGAGCTATGAGGACGTGGGAAGGAAGAATGAGATCTGTGAAGCGAAGGGGCGGATTTTCCCCCCTAAGAAGCATATGGAGACGGTTCTGGAAAGCATGGTGGTACGGGTGGCGAGCACGAGAGGTGTAGCTAGGCCTAAAAAATTCACCGACAGACTGGAAACACATCCCATCCCATCCATTCCCTTGCCCTCCCCCATTGCCCTGCTCCCTGTCCCCCGCTCTGCCATGCGCTGTCCTGGCCTGCCCTGACATGGGCCATGGCATGCATGGGGAGGCGTAGGCAGGTGCGAGCACACACACGCACCTGGGCGAAGTAGCCGTTGAGTGCGTCGCCATGCAGGGGCGTGAGATCCACTCCGTAGTAGCTGCGCTGCTGCCAGAAGAGCGCCTGTGGTGAGTGGACGCAAGCGGAGGAGCAGGGAGAGGGAGAGAAGGGGGAAAGGGCGAAAGGGAGAGGAGAGGGTGAGGGAGGCAGGCGCGGAGTATAGATGGAGAGAGGACAGAGAGGAGAGAAGAGCGAAGCACATGGGCAGAGGAGAGCAATTGGAAGTAGTGCGGTGCAGGCGGGTTGTTGTGATGATGCATGCGCGATGGGGGTATGGAGAGCGAGGACAGAAAGCTCCACATGATGGTCAAGCATGCATGTGCTGCGGGGAACTGTCGGTCTTCTATATGGAGTAGAAACATGCTGGGATCCGAAAGGGAATAAAAAAAGGACAGAAGAAACAAACAGGCAGACAGTTTTTTTTTTTTTTTTGTTCAAGATATACAAAAAAACCCCACCCAAACCCAAACCAGCATGTGTCACATCCACGTCAGCAGCAGTACCTTATTGGCCATCTCCACGTAGAGGTACTCGTCAGAGAAGGGTGCCACGTGGATCCTGATGAGGAGGACCAAGACACGTGGCAGGGGACAGGGTTTAGGGCCGGGGAGAGGTGGGGGGGAGCAAAAAGACCATGCATTGCGGGAAGCAAGAGGATGGGGAGAATCGGCACTCGTACGAGCCTGCCGTGTCTGCCAGCACTGAGACGGGAGAAATGAGCACCAGCCAGGCGTGCGATGTTCCCGAGGCAAGCAGGTTCAAGGAAACACGGATTGCACTCACTTCGACACAGCACGAACCACACCCTAGCACCACATCCCGTGCCCATGCCCGTACGCGTGTAACCCCCCGCACCTGCCAGCGCCGGGGAACATCTTGCCGCCGGGCTTGAGGAAGCGGTTGCGCGCGATCACGTACGTCTCCAACATGCGCTCGTTCACCAGCAGCGTGCCTGCCCGGGTCACGGCGCGGGGGGGGGGCAGGTCGGGGAGGTGGGGCAGGGGCAGGTGGAGGAGGTGGGGGAGGTGGGGGAGGTGGAGGTTGCATTTTGAAAGATCGGGGATAGGACGAAACGGACGCAATGAGCTTGGGATTGAAACGGAGGGAGGTGAGATGAAACGGGACTGACTGACCCATGGGTTCGGAGATGAGAACGTCTGCCTGGAAGGGCAGCGACACGTCTTCCGCCTTGCCGTGTATTATCTGCCGCCCATCAGTGGGTGTGCGGGTGCATGTGGGGGCGTGCGTTCGAGAGATGGGCGGAAGAGGGAATGCGGAAGGGGGATATGAAAGGGGAGGAGGGGGCAGCAAGAAGCGCACGGGGGGAGGGGGACATGGGAGCGCGGCGGAGGCACTGGGGGGAAATGCGCAGGGGCGGTTGGGGTTTAGGGGAGAGAGAGTGGGAAGGGAGAGGGAAGAGGAAGAAAGTACGGTACAAAGGAGAGACGAGGCGGCGAGCGAAGAGGGAGAAGTGCCAGTACTCAAGGGAAATGGGACGAGCTGGGCATGCGGTGGGCATGCGGTGGGCATGCGGTGGGCATGCGGTGGGCATGCGGTGGGCATGCGGTTGGCATGCGGTGGGCATGGGGTGGTGCGTGCGTGAGAGGGGCGGGCACTGACAGTGATGTTCTGGCCCAGCAGCGGGTTGCCCGCCGCGAGCTTGGACGCGTGGTGCGCCATGTTGCTCGCCTCGATCGCGTACACGTGCTTCGCCCCCGCCTGCTCTCCCCGCGCGCGCGCGCACACACGAACGCACGCACGCACGCACGCACGCACGCACACGCAGAGCGCGGGGAGAAAGGGGGGAAGCGCCATGCGCGGAGAGGGAGGAAGCGAGGTGAGTGGGAAAGGAAAGGGAAGGTGCGGAGCGGGAGTGGGCAGGGCAGGGGGAGCGGGAAGGGTAGGGGGAGCGGGCAGGGCAGGGGGAGCGGGCAGGGCAGGGGGAGCAGCGCGCACCCGGGCGGCGAAGAGGCTGAGGATGCCGCTGCCCGCGCCCACGTCCACGACGATCTTCCCCTCAAAGTCCGCGCGGTTTTCCATCACCGCCGCGTAGTACGTGCCTGCGCGCGCGGGGAGGCGCGGGGGGAAGCGCGGGAGGGGGGGGGGGGAAGGGGAGCGGAGGGCGGGGAGCGGGGGGGTGGTAGGGGAAAGGGAAGGGGAGGGGAGGAGAGCGTAGGGGAGAGGGAATGGAGGGAGGCGGGTGAGGAGGCGGGAGGTGCGGGGAGTGGTGGTATGGTCCGCGCGTCCGCCCGTCGGCACACATGGGATCCAATGCCCGCAAGGCCTTGCGCCCGCACGCACAGTGCGTGCCGACAAGGGGGACGCGCGCGGAGGCGGAGAGGGACGGAGAGAGGCGGAAAGAAGCGGAGAGAGGCGGAGAGAGGCGGAGACGGGCGGAGAGGGGTGGAGAGAGAGAGGCGCGCACCTGTGCGGACGTAGTCCTGCAGCATGTTCTGCTGGTGCAGCAGCTGGCCGTAGTATTGAAAGTACATCTTAGCACTGGACGCCTCGATCTTGCGATCAAACGCACTCGCGCCCGCCTCGCCATCGCCACTGCCGCCGCCAGCACCAGCACCAGCGGCAGCGGCAGCAGGAGCAGGAGCAGTTGGAGCAGTGCCGGTCTCTTCTCGGGCCTCCCCTGATGCCACGCCGTTCTGATGAATGCCCCCTCCTTCACAATCCACGCTGCCTGCTCCCGCTCCCACTGCTGACCTGCCACCAGCACCAGTACCACCACTAGCAGCAGCAGCAGCAGAGGCAGCGGCAGCAGCACCGCCCGTGGCAGCAGCAGCAGCGGAGGTGGGCGCGGAGCGCGACTGCCAGGAGGCGAGGGCGCGCGCGAAGGCGTCCGCCTGCGACGAGAGGAGGAAGCGCACGGAGTAGGCTGTCGCGAGCGCGGCCGGCGGAGACGCGGGGGACGAGGCGGACGGATACGGCGGCGGACGCGCCGAGAGCGCGGCGGAAGGGGGCTGGCGCGGCTGGGAAGCCGGCGTGGTGAAGTGGGGGCGGTTCGGGGAGAAAGGCACGGGGGAAGGTGGGGGGAAGGTGGGGAAAGATGGGTGCGGCGGTGAAGGGTTAGATGAGGCATGGGAGAGGGAAAGACGGGTGCGGAAGTGAATAAAGGGAGAAGGGGAGTGCACAAGCTGTGAGGAGGAGAGGTGTGCTAGGTGGATCACCGATACATGCTTGTACCAACACGCATATATCGATACATGGACCGTTATAGAGGTGTGCTGGGTTCTGGTTTTACACGGAGTCAGGAGGACAAAGAAGGCAGGGGGAGGGGAAGCACGTACGTTTAAGGGAGAAAGAATATGAGGAGGAGGAGGAGGAGGAGGAGGAGGAGGAGGAGGAGGAGGAGGAGGAGGAGGAGGAGGAGGAGGAGGAGGAGGAGGAGGAGTGGGAGGAGGAGGGGGAGGGAACGTACTTGCGTGGCGGCTGTTGGAAGCACGAGGATGAAGGCATGCGGGCTAACCCGGTGGACCTGCCACCATGCAAACGCAATGCAAGGCAATGTAAGGCAATGCAAGGTAATGCAAGGTAATGCAGAGCGACAGGTGATGGAGTGTGGTGCGACATCATGATGCTGGCTCAAACTAATGTGCTGGTACATTTGAGGCGCCTCAATGTGCGGGCACGTGAAGGAGTCAGTGCGACGTGACATGGGCACGCAGGAAGAGGTAGCAAGGGCCGAGGCTGGGGAGCAAAAACAGTAAGAAAATCTCCCCTTCATCTACTTTTCTCCCTTCTGTCTTCACCCCCTTCCCTCCTTTTCACCCCACTGTCTCACTGCAGAGAACCCTTGGTGCTTCGTTTGCCTTTTATCCACTATTGCTCCCACGAGGCGTCTCAGTCCCTCCCTCCTATCGCCACCTCACCTGGCAATCCGACTCCACTTGAAGGATCGGATCCACGATCGACCCGTCTCGCACACCGTCGTCGCCATTACCGTCCACACCGCCGCCTCTGGTGCCTCCGCCGCCGCCGCCGCCGCACGCGGCTTCCTCGGAGAGGCCCGAGTCGTCGGTGATCATCATGGCGGCGGGCGCGGGGGGGCGCGGGCGGAACTGCAGCACGGATCTGCCGTCCGCGATAAAGACGGCCTCGACATCGCGGTGGGCGTCCCACGAGGACGTGGCGGGATTCATGCGCGAGAGCATGACGTGGCGAAAATTCCAAGCCATGGCTGCTGCTGCTGCTGCTGCTGCTGCTGCTGCTGCTGCTGCTGCTGCTGCTGCTGCTGCTGCTGCTGCTGCTGATACTACTGATGCGGCGGCAACGGAGCAGTGCTATTAGTAACCGTCACTGGGTATAAGAGAGAATGAACGCAGCAGCTTAAGTTTTCGTTAAGAAAGAAAGTGGGTGAGGGAGGAAAGTTACAATAACGGATTACTCGCTGTGGCTGTCACGTCTGCCGGCGCCGTTCTAACTGCAGCAGTAGCCGCGGGTCCAGAGCCTACGCCGTGCTTTGATGATTGCCCGCTTCTTTGAGATCGCCAGCTCGACGAATGACTCGTCGAGCAAGGTTTTTTTTTTTTTTTTTTTTTTTTTTTTGAACTCTCAGAAACGCCCCTTCCACCGCCGCCTTTTGGTGTCGCGGCACAAAACGTGGCCGCGATCCGTGATTGATCGGCGATGCGCGGCGAGGACGCACGCAAGGACGCTGCGTCGTCCCAATCCGTCGACCTCCTGCACGAAGAATTACTAGTCCCGGTAGTCACGGATTTCCGTGATCGCCGGCGATCCTTCGTAAAAGCCACTGCAGGATCAATTTCCGCCACGGATCAGCAAGAAATGATGGGATCGCAAGGGAGAGAGAGGTGGGGTGGAAGTCGCACGGGAGCGCTCCTGACGCCGTCGAGAGCTCAGAGAGTCGCAATGGCCGGCGGTATCGACGGTAGATGCTGTATAGACGTGTGCAAAATGAGACAAAGAGTCGAAAGGTTTCGCCGCTACTAGAAAGATTGGCGAGGTTTTTTTTTTTAACAACAGTCCGCCTCACAATAGTGCCAACGCGGTGAACCTGGCTGATAACACGGCAATCGTCACGCTGTGAGAGTCACTCGTTCGCTCTCGTTCTACCGCGCAGTAGTTGGTGATTGGAGGTGTGAGCAGGGTAGCTGATGGGGGTGGAGTAGTGGGAGGGAAACAAGGGAAAGAAATGATGGCTGCTGCCTGATTTCCTGGTGCTTGCTCACGCTGCAATGGTGGTTCTTGTTGCTGCTCAACCCATCTCTAGAGCGCGCCCGACCAACCAGAAAATTTTGTGATTCTTCTCCCATGACTCGTTTCACACAGGTTTTCCCTTCTGCGATGGACTGACCAAGCGTGCTTGCTGTGGGGAAAAACAAATTCCTCACCGTCGGGTTCGCCCTTGCCGCACCGCCTTTTGCCCCACACGCGGGTTCTGGGGTCGACGGGAGGAGGATGCTTGCTCGGCATGCGAGTCTCGCGGACGTGGCGCCGATTCGGACGAGCTGCGCTGGAATGAGGGAGATAGGCAGGAGGTAAGGGGAGGCATGTTAGCTCAGATCGGACGGCTGAGATGCTGGAAAAGACATCCATCATGAAGATATTTTCTCAGTTGCAAAAAGTGCATGCCAGGTGGCGGTGGAAAGGAAGGGCGGGTGTAGCCAAGCGTTGAGCAACCAGCGGTAACCGAAGGTACAGTATAAGGGGGCAGATAACGGTCAGATGGGTGATCGGTTGTTCTGTTCTGGCAGAACGTAACGGTCAGATGGGTGATCGGTTGTTCTGTTCTGGCAGAACGTAAACCTGTACACTAAAATCGCTTGAGAGGTGCAAGTACAGTGACCAGCTCTTCTGTTTCAGGCATGCTTAGCAAACAAATGTTCAAACAGTACTTTCAAGTGTGTAAAGTGAGAGTGGCGTGGCAGGCGTGCAACTTCAAAGGGGTTCAGGAAAGTCGATCGACGTGGCTGATCAGCAGCATCTCAGCATACCCTTTTCCTTTTAGTCGCAAGCGACGCGATCGAAATCTTGCACTTTATTCCAGCAATGAAACCAAAAAGCGCGCTTCAATTTGGCTGACCTGGAATTTCCAATGGTGGAGGTGCTTCGTCATTCCCTGAATCAAAACCTCATCTGGCCACGACTTGCGGGCACGAGTTTCGCAGGGGGGCGCCTTCTGCATGCATTTGATATTTTCCAAATTTCATGGAAACTATCTTCAGTTGGCATGATATTTCTTCGTGGGCAGTTCCATAACAAGCTGACTATTGGTTCTAGAAACATGCGGAAAGTTTCAAACGTGCGATACTTTCAAGTGTGACAAATATGGGATGATTACAATGATTCCTCATTACTGTTCATGGTCAGTTGGAAACAGAGCCACATGAAATTCATATGCACAGTGAATAGGTTAGCGAACAGCTAATGTATATGCTTGATCAAACTGATTCAAAAAGTTATACTGCTGCTCAAAGAGCATGTTGTAAAATAAGTGGCATCTAGCCTGCTCGGTGGTGTTGGAATCAGACTTACAGAAAGAAATGAAATATCATGCTAGCATGCATACACTGATGATAAAACATGCCAGATGCATCATCATGGTTTGAAACGAGAAAACCCTACATTCAGGTTGCCTTTCTCCTCCTACACGCTCACGCTCCTTCCTCCCCGCTCGCCTCCCCCTCGCCATCCACGCTTCTGCCGTCCATCTGTGCCTGCAGCAGTGAGCGGTGCAAAAGACTCTCGGCATTGCGGACCGCCTGCAGCAGCGGGGTGCCAGAGGGACACGTGGACGCACCGTGCACCGCCACGTGTCCCACTCGGAACCGCTTGCCCTTGTCCTCAAGCCACACGTCAGCATCCCAGTCCTCCTCCGCGCCATGCCATCCCTCCTCCTTGGCCTATCGTGCAACAGGTGTAGTAATTCGGGCGAGACAGAGCAGATTTGGGAGAGGGGAGAGAGTGGGGGGGGTGACGGGGTGACGTGACACGGACAGGAAGGAAGCCTCTCCGGGAGTGATCATGGGGAAACACCAGGATACATGACCGAGATTGATCGAGGAAACTTGAAGTAGCCTACGATGACAACGAAAACAAGCATAGCATCGGAGATTTTGCAAGCGCGACACTTTTAGAGACATACAGATACAGTGAGGGCACAAACACTTTCAAAAATGTTGAACAATCACCACATGACATGGCACTACTCGTTAAATTGCAGACAACCAATCAGATTCCCATGATCAGTTCTCCAAACCCCACCCATGGATAGGAACCAGAGACGCATCCGTTGTTGACGCCTGACAAATGACGACAATACTACTGCTAAAGAGCAAGGGAAGGCACGAACATACTGTAGTGGAATGGAATCAACATCGCTTGCCCCTTGATCCATCACCCCAGCTACTCCCGCCTCACCTGCAACCCGAGAAGAATCTCCGCCACCCGGGCAGCTCGTGCAACGTTTCGGCCTGCCCCGCTGCCCATGGCGGTGGCAGCACCGACGGCATTGGCGAGTGCGAGTGTGGTGGAGGGCCCTTCGTCGCTCAGCAGACCCATGGCCACCGCTGCTGCAAAGCTGTCCCCACACCCCACTGTGTCCGCTACATCCACCTGCAGGCGGGGGCAGCAGGAGTCACAACAGCACGGCACATGCGGACGAGTGAGGAGGGTTGGGGTGAGAGGAAGGGCACAATTGGAAAACTAGGCGAGCAGGGAAAAGAGAGCATACAAGAAAAAGAGAGGTTCTTGAAAGAGGTGGAGCATTGCCAACGGATCGCGAGCAGAGGGAAACACAGCATTTCCACCCCAACCAGCAGCAGAGGAGAGACGCGCAGAGAGACAGGTCAGGACTGGAGAAACCACGGAGGTAAGGCAGAATGTAAAAAGTGGTGACGTTACCTTGAAGCCAGGGAGGCTGAACACGCCTTGTGCTGCAGTGGCCAGCACACACCCATTCGGCCCCTTCTTCACCGCAACCCACTGTGGCCGCTCCTCCTCCTCCTCCTCCTCTCCTCCTTCCTCCTCTCCTTCCTCCACTCCCTCCCCCTGCTGTTGCTGTTGCTGCTGCTGCTGCTGCTGCTGCTGCTGCTGCTGCTCCTCCTGCTGCTGCTGCTGCTGCTGTTGTTGCTGGTGGTGATTCCATGCCCGGCCGTCCACTGCACCTCCCTCCTCTCGCGCCTCTGGGTCTGCATTCAGCCCAAAGCCCCCAGCGGCAGCAGTGCTGGCAGCAGCCCTGGCCCTGGCCTTGAGCTCTAGCAGCTGCACGGCTGATGCGTTGGGATCCTGCTCCTGAGTCACCACCTCCGCCTGAACCGCGCCCGTGGGGGACACACAAGTGGCGGTGGCGGGAAGAGAAAGGGAGGGGGGAGGTGGGTGGTTGGAAAGGGGAGTTGAGAGGGAAGGTTGGCCAAGGACGGCTGGAACGGGGAGAGCAAAACTGGGATTTCAAATCGACGGGGAAAAGTGCAGGGGACAAGTGAAACGAGGGGTTGAAACGGGAAACCACAGGATGGTAGTACCAGGATAAGAATGATAGGTAGGGCTCAAACTCCCATGAAAGACATTTAGGCTGTGACACAGCAAAGTTAAGACTCCACTCCAGAAAGAAAAAGATGCAATACACGTGACAGCTTTTTTGAAACGCCTTAGGAAGTGTAACACCATACACACCTCTTCAGACGTGAGCAGAAGAACGTCGCAGTTCATCAGCAGCCAATCAAAAACCTCCTTAGAATGCCCGACTGACCGGAAGAGCGAGCCAGTGCGAGGGCCAGGGTCGAAAAAGACAAGCACGCCCGCCCGTTGTGCGTACTGGGCGGCAGACTGGATGGCGGAGGGCGGGAACTCGTCGAAAGCAAATCCATTAATAAAGAGGGCGCGGGAATGGGCGATGAGGTGAGCGAACGCAGGGGGTATGGCTTGAACGCGACTGAAGGCCGGGTTCTTGTTGAAATCAAAGCGGCTGCAGGGATGGAGAGGGATTGAGGGCGGTGGAAGGACGGGAAGGGGTCAGGGATGGGGACAGGGAGGGGGATGGGATAGGGATGGGGAGAGAGATGGGATGGGGATGGGGATGGGGGTGGATAGGCGACAGGGGAGACACAGTGAGTGAATAGGGGAAGGGACGACAGGGGGAAATGGCATGATGGCTGGTTGTACTGCTTGACTGGCCCTTGAGCCATGGGCATGACTCTGCAAGTTGCTCTCATGGGAATGACTTGAGACCGGTTCACGTGGGAGTGAGGGAGTGCGGGATAAGGAGGAGGTGGAGGAGGGGAAGAGCGGGAGAAGCTGGGAAGGAGGGATAAGAGGGGATCTGTTGCTTGGGGGAACAAAGCACGAGAACACGAAAGTGCAAGAGCACATCACACGACGACATACAAGCACACAGGCATCACCTGGCGAAGGCATGGCGCCCGTTCTTATCCAGAAACACCCAGCACGCCAGCGTTTCCCCGTCATACCGCCCTTCACTCCTCTCCACCACATCCCCTTCCCCCTCCCCCTCTTTCTCCCCCTCCGCGCCCTCCCACGGCCCATCCCCCAGCGGCCCATCCACGTGGTCCGCGAGCGGGAGCAGCGCGACGCGCTCGTCCGCCATGACGCGCGCGAGGAATGCGCCAAACGCGTCGCCCGCCACGTGGCCGAACGCCGTGCAGCGCAGCCCCAGGCGCGCCGCCGCTATGCCGAAGTTGAGATTGCCGCCCGCCTCCCAGCACGACTGCATGCGCGTGGAATGCGGGCAAGAGGGGGAGGGGACGGGTCAGGGAGGGAAGGGAGGGGGGGTCAGGGGAAGTGGAGAGGTGGCAAATCACTGAAACTCCCGCGCATTCACCCCCACCCACCCCCCCCACCCCTCAACCTCCCCTCTTCTCTTCCCTCTTCTCCCCCCCCTCCCCCGCGACTTCCGGGACCAACTCACCTCATTAGGCGGGTTCGCTTTGACTCGCTGCAAAAATTCCCACTTGCCGCGCCGATCGGACGGCGGTAATTCGTCCACAGCCACAAGAACATCCACGCACAGGTTACCTAGGGTTACCACATCCACCAATTTCGTCTCCCCTTCCTGCACCCTCGCTCCTCCCGCCTCCCTGACCGTTTCTTCTTCGTCCTCCCCCTTTCGCGAAAAAATTCGAACAGTCTTCCCTTCGTCCGCGCCCTCCTTCTGACCCGGCAATTCCTGTGCTGCTGCCTCTCGAACCGTCGCCACGCCTGCCGTGGGTTTCGCGGGCTGCGTGCTAGGATCAATGGCGCTGGTTTTAACGTCGCTGGCTTTGGCCTCTTCTAGTGTAAGAACGTTGCTGCTACTCGATGCTTGGCCAATGACGTCATCCCGTTGGACGGCTGGATGGCCGTCCCGTTTACGGAGTCCGTTCGGCGAGGCAGCACCGCCGGCGAAATTTCCTAAACGGATTTGCGACGCAGAGCAGGAAACGTGACGAGAGGTTACTGCACGAGCGGCGCGCAAGCGCAGTCTTTGCTGTGTCCACGCATCGCTCTGACGAGCGGCGAGCGGTGGAAGGCGGCAAACTGGTGCGATGGATATCGACATAATGCCTTAATTCAAGCGGTAAACGGCAATTAATTTTCTCGTCGACTAAAATAATCGACTCAGGCGCGCGACTGCGACGGAGAACGGGCGAAGCGCAGCCAAGAAGTGGCCGAGAGGAAAAACTCGCTAACAGTTATAAGAAAGAAGCGCCTGACAACGACTCATAATTCGTCTATTTTTCTCGAAGAATACAGAATCACGCGTCGTCGACGAACATGCGCTGACTGATCGAGATGCGACTCCTTTGGTCCCGATCAGAGAGGGAGCAACGAAAGGAAGGACTGCAAGGGCCGCTTCGTGCTGTCATACGGTACTGAGGCGTGCAACCCCGAGGAAAATGGGGTCGTTGGGAAAGGGGGGGGTGGAAGGGGAGTGGGAGGAGTGGGGGGGTGTTGCGTAGGCTTGTGGAAAAGCTGCCGGAGGAGGGAGGCGACTGTGTGCTGTCTTGCCGGACCTTTTGCCGGTTCGGAAATGGTATTGGCTCGTCTGATTGGGCGTCTGTTTCCTCCTCCCCTCATTACCTGCCACGAGCTTCTTCGAGAACACAGTTCTGCCTGACCACACCGGCATGCCGTCAAGTGTACGATTACAGTGAAGTCAACCCTAGGCGTCAAAATCCACTACTGTGCAAAGATCACTCCACCATCCCATTCCAGCATGCTCGCTTCCCTGTTATGGCTTCCATGTTCAATCTACTGACTTGAAACATTATTTCTACAGTACCCACAACATGGTGTCCTGGATTCCTGATGCAAGTACCTGTATACCATGCACGACTACTTGAGGCAGCAACAGGTGTCAGAAGTTAAGGTAATAGCAGCACTAAAAACATCAAAGAATCAGCCTACACAGAATCCACCAGTTGCACCTGTCAACAAACACCTTTCCTCCTTCCATACTACCATACTCGTCTCGCGTGCACTACAGCTTGGATGATGTAGCCATGTCAACCACCATGTCCTTCTTGGCGACTTCCAAATACAACGCATCAATCTCCTTCTCAAAGTAGGCCTTTGCTTGGGGCCTCTTGACCTGGGAATCGAAAGGCAGCAAATCAAAGCAGAACACACGCCAGACATCAACAATACAACCACCTCCAAACTCTCATTACCAAGCATCGCCTCAGAATACCAACTGCGGGAAACAATCAATCAGCACATACCGATGACACAAGTGTGCATCATCCCTGCCTGTCTGTACCTTGAACGTGGGCGTGAGCAGTCCATTCTCCAATGTGAAGGGCTCCGCAACAAGGTGCACCGCCTTCACAAACTCAAACCCACGCAGCTGCAAGCACGCAACAGGCAACATCAGTACCAAATCCAAACACACTGATTAAAAATGGCAGGAAACAAGACCATGCAGATCATCACAAGCATCTATGCCGCCAATGCAATGTTTTGTGCTAGGTTGAAGGAGGCATACCTTGGCCTCCTGGCCCACTCGGTCCATGTCTGCAAGCACTGCAGCCCGTGTTACAGGGTCCTGGCACAGGCGTGGCACATCCTCTGCATACTGTTGGCCAGCACGGCGGGAAAGGGGATGTGGAGGGAGGAAATGGGGACCCGTAGGTGTGCGTAAATCAACCCCGTGTCGTTGAGGTAAGCAAGGTGAGACCGGGTGGAGGTGGGGTTGGTGGAAAAGAGGAACAAGGAAATCTGGGCACGGATGGTGGTGGGTGGACGGAAATGGCTCACGGGAATGCCTCTGCTCTTGGCCCACGCTGTGATGCCATCAGGATCCACCACCACTATGGCCACCAGATTGGCGTTCAGACTGTCACCTGCCGCATGGCGCAAACAGCGCAGCAGAGAGGAGTTCGCACACAGGAAACACACGCAATTACACACAGCCAGACACAGAACAAGGATGTGTAAGGAATGACAAGCGGGACGGAATGAAGCCCAGCATAGATGTTGACAGCTTGACTGGTTAGAGCATCCACAGTGGGGGAAAGAGGAATAGAGGGAAGCAGGAGTGCAGGGAGGGGCAGCCCACCGTAGACAAAGCACTGCTGAATGAGTGGGCTGCGCAGGTACGTGTTCTCAATCTTCTCCGGTGCCACATACTCGCCCTGCGACAGCTTAAAGATATTCTTCTTCCTGCACACGCCACCACACGACACATCATGCCATGTCTCACGTAAGCCACACCTCATGAAGCTCACATGCATCATGCAAGAATAGCATCAAAAGCACCAGAAAACACGAACCCACCGCACCTCAAGCGTCAAAGGCAGTGACGCACGAACAAGATAGGTCACCTGTCAATGATCTTGAGGCGGCCCATGGGAAGCCATGTGCCGATGTCCCCTGTGTGCAGCCACCCATCCTCGTCTATCAACTCCTCCCTGCGGCATCAGGAGGGCAGGCAAGCAACAAACCATCACGCACAAGAAGGTTGTGATAGACAGGCCAAGGGGATGATCTCTCTCGATTGCTCGAGTCCAGAACAAACAAGAAGTTTAAAGGCTGATGGAAAAAGGGTCCTTGAGATGCTGTACATACGTCTGCTTGGGGTCCTTGTAGTATCCCTTGATGATCACGGGTCCCCGCACACAGATCTCCCCTCGCGGGTGCGGCCGGTCCGATGACAGGTAGTCCATCTCAGGCACGTCCACCAGCTTCACCTCTGGTACAGTCACACATGCAGCACACGCACTGTCAAAAGGCAGCAGGGAAAAACGGGTTGGGCATCAACTCAAGCGAGATGCAAGGGTGCAGGAAGGGGGAGGTGGGGTCAAGGGGAAGCAGGCAGGAGTGGCGGAAGGAAGGGAGAGGATGTATGGGGTGGTTATGGATGTGAGTCAACGCACCACATGCAGGGTTGGGCGAGCCCACATGGCCTGACATGGTATCATCTTCGTCCACCAGCGATATTGTGCATGTTGTCTCTGTCATACCGTACCCCTCGCACACTCGTGCTCCGAAGCAGCTGCACGGGAAAACGATGTAAACAAGGAGTTGTGCAAAAGCGCTTGTCAATCAGTGTGAGTGAGAATGGAGGGCGGAAGAGGCAGAGGAGGGGGGATGAAAGATGCAAATGCACAAAAGCAAGGCTCAACGTAACATGCCGACGCAGGTGCCCAATCCGTAACAGCAACAAGGAGCTCAGCTCACGTCCAGGCAAGCGGCATTGCTTGCAACGGGTGAGAAGAGAAGAGAACCCTTGGAAGCAGCACTCACGCAACGCAGACTTACATGCGCAGGAAGTCAAGGACCTCAGGGGAGATAGGGGAGGCGCCTGTGATCATGAGGCGCACTCGCCCTCCCAGCCGCGCTTTCACCTTGTTGAACACCAGCCGGTCCCACACCGCTGACGGCGCCTTGCCTGCCGTCCATGCCCCACCATGCCATGCCATGCCATTCCCCACCACACACGTGTTACGTGTATAATCCGGAGAATAGAAGCAGAGTAGGTGTGGCACTACAAACATAGAGAGCACGGTCACATACTGTTTCAAGGGAGAGAGAGAATGGATCATCCACAAAAAAAAACACGACTCACACAGGGGACAAACTACCTTTCTCGAGCGCGCTCTTCTTGGCGCTGTAGGCGATGTTAAAGAGGTACTCGCGATGAGCGCACTTTGGAGGCGCATCAAAAGCCCCCACAGGGGACACGATACCTTTCTCGAGCGCGCTCTTCTTAGCGCTGTAGGCGATGTTAAAGAGGTACTCGCGGATGCCTCCCGAGGAGCGCACGGTGGCGAGAATGCGGTCGTAGATGCGGTTGTACAGCCGCGGCACACTCGCAAACACCGTCGGCCGCAGCACCTCCAGGTCGTCCATCAGCTTCAGCACGTCCTGCTCGGTTGGGCGGGGGAAAAGGGTATTGGCTTTTGAGGTGCCCCAAAAGCAGACCGCAGCACCTCCAGCACGTCCATCAGCTTCAGCACGTCCTGCTCGATTTTCAGGGGAAGAAGGGTATGGGCCGACCGGGGTGAGGGAGGTGACTATTTAGTGGCTGAGACAGGAGTGTCGTGTCAGACCATTTGAGTTATGAGAACAATATGAAAGAGAAATACAGACTGGGGTGGAGTGGAGATTGACTATACTGTAGTGCAAACAAGAGGGAGTGAGAAGGCGAGTGAGTGGGTGAGTTAATGAGAGTGCGTGCAGTTTAACACGTACCCCTTGGTAGAAGCCAATGGCAGCGCCGCAGTGAATGAGCGACTGCATGTTCATGCGCTCGTAGATGTGCGCAAGAGGCAGGTACGACAGGTACCTGTGTGGGAGAGGGGAGCGAATGTAGGCCAAGGAGAGGAGACGGGTATGTTCAGGAGGACAAGGAAGAGGACAGATTTGCGGAGATGCTCATTGCTTCTGACAATTGCTTGCACCTTGTTCAAATGGAACGAATTCCAATGTTGGTGGTATTCGATACCATGCTCTGTTTAGACCAATACATGTCACACCAAACAGGTCGTGTCGTAAGAGTTGCGAACAGGGGATACCAGAAACGAGATTAAAGTTAGCCATTCATGCACGTACACGTCACCAGGGAAGAGCGTGGCATTGAAAAGTGCGCCTGCAGCACTCGCCACCATTGCTCCTTGTGTTAACATGGCTCCCTGCCACCACCCACCAAAACCCCAGTGCACATACAACAACAATGTGTCAACTTTAAAAATGCAATGGCAAACGTGAACAGCGGCATGAATTTGAAGGAAATGACAGATCTCTTACCTTGGGCACGCCTGTGGTGCCGCTGGTGTAACAAATGCTGCACGTCTCGTCAGGGGAGAGAGGGGCGAAGGGAGGCGGGCTGATGCGACCCTGCAAGCATGGGATGGGCGGGTATGAGAAAAGAAACAACAGTTATCAATCAGCTCACTTGTAGCGGCACAGCACACACGGAGCTTCTTCATCTGAGCCAGAGTGAAGGAGAAGGTGAGTGAGCTTGTAGTACCTGAGCCTCGAGCTTGGAGTAGTAGAGAAAGGTAACGCCAGGAGGAGGCATGGGCAGCAGATGGTCCGCCTGACCAAGAACCTACACAAGCAGAGTGACACGGACAGAGGAGACGGGGGTGATGGGTAACGGGTCATGGGTTATAGCTGATGGATGAGAGAGATAACATAACATTGATACAAGACAGCAAGGAGCTTTGTAGGCAGGAATGATTAGAATATGTGGACGAGGGCGTACCACAACAAGGCGGACTGAAGGGCAGTCCTTCAAGCACGAGGTGATCTGTGATAGGGGTCCGGGGAGATCAGAAGTCTTGATTAGTACAAGCACTCACTGTGACTCAATGTCAACAAGGTACTATGTCAGAGATGCAAATTTAGAACACAAGAACACACAGTGCGATTTAAATATTCGGTTCAGACCAAAGGAAAGACATGCCACTGTGGAAGCTTCATTCACATCATGTCCCACTGACCATATCGAGCTTGTCTCGCGTGCAGAGAACAACCGCAATCTCGGCATGGTTCATGATGTACTGCACTGCATCCGGACCTGCCATGTGAGGGCGGGAGATAAGGTTTGGGATGGGGGGGACGGGAGGGAGGGGAGGAGGGGAACGTGGAAAAGTACCAGCAGGGAGGCACAAACGCACGGAACAAAGAGTGAGGCCAAGCAGTAGTGCTGTGCTGTGTGGCTGCGAAAGTGAGTGTGGATGAGATATACAATGTACGATGGCGGACTAAGGATTCGAGAAGGGATAGAAGGGGGAAAAAATGGTAAAGCCGCCAGAGAGATGTGGTAGGCAGTGAATGGAGGGAAGGGATGTACCAAGGGTGTCATAAAGAGGCACGGAGACGAAGCCAAAGGAATAGCAGGCCTGCTCTGTGAGAACCCATTCCGCCCTGTTGACACAGTAGAGGCCAACCCTCTCTCCCTGCACAGGCGCAGAGGACATACAGTGTCGTTGGTACTGGAACTGTTAGCAAGGATGCATGCATGCAACGAGAGGAAAAAAGGCACACGCGCGACACACCACTATCACAGCTTCCTTCCACTCCACTTACTCGCTGCAATCCCAGGCGAATGAAACCCGACCCTACTGCTGTGCGAAGCTCTGCTGCCTCCCGGTAGGTGATCCACTCGTAGCTGCCAAGAGAGAGGGGAGGAGGGCCAGGCACGCTCACTGCCATCTGTCGTGTTGTTCTGGAACACGCCAACACACACTTATCTAAAACGTTCATGGCTCGTCTGATAGCAAATTATACAGAGTTGCGCTAGAAGAGTAGCTGTGGATTGAAAGGAGGAGGATTTCAAGACAGAAACTACATGAAGTGGGGACATGCGCTGGGTGAGGAAAGAGGGGCGGGCTTACTCTCCCACTGATCCGTCAGGACGCACACGGGTGCCAAAGCATGGCTCATCAGCATAGAGAGATGCTGCATGCCTGCATTGGGGCAGACGAACGGAACAAGGACAACACAAAAAACTGGGCTTGGTGCCGGAGAAAAAACAAATCCATTACAAAATTACTGTGGCCGTTTGCAGGCATACATCAACGAACAACGGCTGGATTGAACGCATGTGTAACGTTAAAAAACAGGCTTATGGTTTGAAGGCACGAACTCCATGTTGTCATGAAGAGTCTTGATGTTGGCCTGGGGAAAGCTGTCAACGAGCTTGAAGGGCGACCTCGCCGATCTGCCAGAAATAAAACAGAGACATGCCAAATACAACCAGTCCAGAATGTCAATCGCGCCGGCAGCTTCTAATATTTCATCTTTGTTGCTGGGAGTTAGGTTGAACACAACTTGTCAAGCTGGAAATGATATAAAAGGTACAAGACGCACCTGTAGACATTCCATTTCCCATCAGCCAGCTTCTCCGGAAGAAAAACGCTGTATCCTTCAGCTGTTGCAGCAGGACAACAAGGGACGCGAATTAACTACTGCATTCAAGGCTAGACTGAAACTCCACATTGCATAAAAGACGGAAAAGAGCCAGACGAAGCGGCTCATTGCGTGTGGGCTGTGCAGCCAATTGATGAATTGTCGGGGTCGCGAAAACCAGATCAAACGACAAATAAAGTGAAGAGATGTAACCTACGTTTTACGAATTCCCCTGCGACGGGTTCCATTGTCACAAGCGACGTGTCGGTCCCTGCAAAACGGAATGACGAAGATAGTTAGAACAACTAAGAGGACTCCCACAGCAATACAGAATCGGTGAGCGGATGACCTAGCGTGGTATGCCCTAAAAACGAGGCGAATGCTGCAAAGGCGAAACAGATTGATCGCACCTTCGGCCGCAGGAAGAACGTTCAAGTGCGATGCAATCACGTCCCTCCGGCGACGTTCGGAATCCATGGCGGCGTTATCGCGCTGCAAACAGTAAGCTCACGAACCTGTAGAGAACACTGGTAGAAACGGCAGACGGAGAGGAATCCCTCTGGTTTCCCACAATAGTTTCGACTGTCTGAGATTAACGCTCAGCTTGGTCGCGAGAGAAAGCAGACGAAACACGCTTCGTGCACCTGTGAAAGAGCTTCCGCGAAAACAGGAGAAGGTAGGCTGGTATCAGAAGCTATGCCTGTCAGAAAAAGGCAGCGCTGTTGCTTCTGGTTGATGTTTACGTCAGGGCGGATTGTTGGGCTCGCTCTGATTCAGCTCACTATGGGGGATTGCATCAGCAAACGGTGGTTATGGGCCGAAGACAATCATCCAATAGCCCAGCTGACCTGGAACGGGGCAACACCACGTATGATCCCTTCAGTTGAACATGGAAAATACATATGTATAAACAGATGAAATAGTTAGCCGCTGAAAATATATAAACAGAATATATGTATAAAGAGGTAAGAATTTACATATGGGAACCTGGTGGGTATGTCAGACCTCTAAAGTCCCAAATCGCAGCTGCGCTTCTTTTCAAAGCTTGCAGAGCCCACTTCGTCAAGTTTAAAAAACTTGACTCGCGCGGTCCGCAATTTGGGCCGCGGGCTTTAGTGGAACCAGAATAACATTCTACTTTTTTAGGTATGCTTAATAGGACTTCAAATAGTTCATTTTGTCTTACGGCTCTATATTGTTATCGGATAAGGTGATTCTCACACTGCGGATTACTGTTTTGTTTGCAGTGATTCAGCAAGATTCTGCTTGTTTTGGCACAAAGCAAACTGGTCCGTTCGATCCAAGGTTTGTTTGTAATCTTGAAACCTTTGGCGCGAGATTTCCGCAAACACTGTGCATCCCGCAGCCTAACCGTAGCTTTGCCATACGGAACCCGGGGGAACGCTCCGCGAGTCCCGAATGTTGGCGGGCGTTCGGAGATGTGTCAGCGATTTTGGTGGAGCACTTCCGCCACCTCGCGGTTTTTTTCAGAACCAACCGTTGGCCTGGGCTTTGGTTACGTCGCTCACGAGTCTCGCGAACACAATATCGCACCTGTAGGCTGCTTATACGAAATAACTCAAAATTCGCGAATTCACTTTCGTCTCGCTATAATCGTTCGTCGTTCCTTCCGCGGAAAACCGTCATTCCGCCACTTTTGCGAACTGAGCGCGCTTTTGCTTCCGCGCAGTGCACCAATTTTGTCGGCGGGGCTTCCTTCTCCACCGCCAGCCCAACCTCGGGATTGGCTGGGATCTCTCTGGGCTGTGCTGAACCTTACCTGGGATGCCCAAACTGTCGACCTTTCTCAACACTTTTCAACCGAACTGAAACATCAATTGCCTCTCTCGACCATTCTATTTTGTGATCCCAGGCAGAACAAACACAACAGAGCAGAGCAGGAAGGCAATGGTTGAGGACGCGGCAAATGTTTGCATTTTGCCAGGATCGAGGAAAATCGGGCCCTCAAATCGATCCTGGCACATCGTTCGGCACACCGATGTGCCCACGCTGCAAATTTGCAGGGGGTTAGACACATCGAGCTATAAGTGCCAGGATTGAAATTGCAGGGTCGGGCAGGTTGGAGCCGCGTCAGAATACACCAACACAGTGCAACGCGCAACCAATAAGGGCAGAGCAAGGGTGGTCGCCCAGCAATTTCATTCGTAGCGACTCGGAAATTTTGGGCTTACGACCGTAGGCGACGCCGATCGATCGCGGCTGTCACCTGTGGCGCGATGTGCTCTCCCACCAACCCAAACGCAAGATCGCTGTGTGCACATCGGCACCTCCACCGTGCGAGCTGCTGGTGCCAACATTGTGGGTACCCTTTTACTGTACAACATCGTTATTCTGCGAAAACCGGATACCAGACCAATCCACTGTACATGTGGCACATCGATTTCCATCCACGATCGATCCTAGCTTCCTCAAAACTGGTGCCGCGTCCTGAGTTCAGCCAGTGTGCAGCGAGCGAGCTCAACTCAACTCAGCCCATTTTCCAATTCCTTTTCATTGCAGCATCTCCTCTGCTCCCTTGCTTCACTCTCATTCACCTGCATAATCTCGAAAAGCATTCTGTCGCTCGCCACCCAACTCTGCGTTCCGTCCAGAAGTCATTAGCACGGACTGTAAGCCGCTAGACACCATCAAGAACGAACGCTAGAAACGAACGTCGTCAACGGAGGCGTTCTCTCACTCAGCAGCTACGATTGATTCCGTTAGCTGCGATTTCCTCGTCGGTAGCAGCTTTCGTTGTCAGCAGATTCGTGTTTTACTGGTCTTAACAAATAAGCTGGCCGTCAGCGGAAATTGCAATACGAAACGATCCTCCTCCTCATCAACAGTTTCCGCTGTTAGCAGCAACATTCGCTCCATAAACTTCAAGGACTTTCGTGCTTGGAAGGGATATCCGACGTTCAGCGATTTCGGCCGTCCGCCAGCAGAGATGTTTTTGCAGTTAGAAGCGAGTATCGCCATCAGCAGCAACAATTTCGAAAGTCCCCTCTGCTGCGACCACAACGAGCTAGTCTCGTCACCTCAGTCAAGCTCGAAGCTCGCGTGGTTTAGCGGAATCGCCAACGTAGCTGTGGCTAAGCGGAATCACATGGAGGATCGCTTCCGCCTCGAATCGCGCTTTCCCTGCATCAGGTACGCCCCTACTGCGCGAATGTTCACATTAACCACGTTAACTACTTTTCGCCACGTTCTTAATCCAGACCATTCTCTAATTTGTATTTTGCGTTTAATTGTGCAGAATCTTTCTAAAAATGCGCGAAATCGTTGTCCGCGCGTCGCAGCACGGCGAAATCGCTGTTCGTGCATGGCGGAATCGTCGTCCGCGCGTCGTCGCACGGCGGAATCGTTGTCCGCGCGTCATCGCAAGGCGGAGTCGTTTTCCGCGCGTCGTCGCAAGGCGGAATCTTTGTCCGCGCGTCGTCGCAAGGCGGAATCGTTGTCCGCGCGTCGTCGCACGGCGGAATCGTTGTCCGCGCGTTGTCGCAAGGCGGGATCGTTGTCCGCGCGTCGTCGCACGGCGGAATCGCTGTTCGTGCATGGCGAAATCGTCGTCCGCGCGTCGTGGCATGGCAAAATGGTCGAGGCTGTGCGTCCCATCAGCGTGGGGATGGGCAGCAGTAACGGCAGCAGCATCAGCTCTCACTGCTTCTTCAACCGCCAGCTAAGTGCCTTCTCCACCCTCCACTCTCTTGCTTTCATGTCATGCTTGCACCATGCATTGCACCCCCTTTTTCACTGCTCTTTGTCACACCCATTAGACCTCCCTCCCCCAAGGTAGTAGGTATCTTTTTTCTTGGTACAGCCTCGGGTATTTGTATTAGTTTGGTTCAGCTGGTACGAGGTCTCTTGGGTGTGACACTGCAGCAGTCCATTCATCCACGCATCATGCTTGCGCTTGCTGCGCTTTTCACTTCTACTTGTCTTGGCTTCTTCCCTCAGTGCTCTCCCCGCTTCTCTGCGCCCCCTTCACTTCCCCGTTTTCTCCCCCTTCTCCTCCCTTTTCTCTCTCTGTCCCGATCTGCCCCCTTCTGGTCCCAGCAGGTCGCTCACACGGGAGTGGCAGTGGCGGGGGACATGGAGTGCACAGGCAGCAGCTGCTCTTCATCCAACTCACCCACAGCTAAGTACCCCGCCCTTCCTCTCTTCTCCCAACCCTCGCACTGTGTTGCTTTGCTTCTCATGCTTGCACCATGCATTACTCTCCATTTTTCACTGCTCTTTGTCACACCGATTAGACCTCCCTCCCCCAACGTAGTAGGTATTTTTTCTTGGTACAGCCTCAGGTATTTGTTTTAGTTTGGTTCAGCTGGTACGAGGTCTCTTGGGTGTGCCACTGCAGCAGTCCATTCATGCACGCATCATGCTTGCGCTTGCTGCACTCTTCACTTTCACTTGTCTTGGCTTCTTTCCTCACTGCTCTCCCCACTCCTCTTCGCCCCCTTCACTTCCCCGTTTTCTTCCCCCCCTCCTCCCTTCCTCTCTCTGTCCCAACCGGCCCTCTCCCGTCCCAGCAGGTCGCTCACACGGGAGTGGCAGTGGTGGGAGGGGAGGGGGGCAGAACTCCACTTGGATGGGATGGGATGGGAGAGTATCGGGATTGGGTCGTCTGAAACAAGGTGAGCCTCTTTTCCCTTGTGCACTCATGCTGCTGCTTGTTCTTTTTCCCATGCTGACTTCCCGTTTCTGCTCCCTTGCTTCCTTGTAGCTTGTGCCTACTCTTCTCCCCATTCTCACTGCTGTCCCTTGATCCGCTGCCTACCCCGGCCTTTCTCCCTCCCTCCCAGTACATTGAAGGCCGTAGAAGGGCAGCACGGGGGCAGCGGCAGGGCAGCAGCGGAGGGGAGGGGAGGGGCAGCGGCAGCAGCAGGGGGAGCAGAGTAGCAGACCGGGAGTGGCAGTGGCGGGTGACATGGAGTGCACAGGCAGCAGCTGCTCTCCACCCAACTCACCCACAGCTAAGTACCCCGCCCGTCCTCTCTTTTCCTAACCCTCGCACTGTGTTGCTTTTGCTTGTCATGCTTGCACCATGCATGGCGCCCCCATTTTCACTGCTCTTTGTCACACCCATTAGACCTCCCTCCCCCAAGGTAGTAGGTATTATTTTCTTGGTACAGACAGCCTCAGGTATTTGTTTTAGTTTGGCTGAGCTGGTACGAGGTCTCTTGGGTGTGCCACTGCAGCAGTCCATTCATGCACGCATCATGCTTGCGCTTGCTGCACTCTTCACTTTCACTTGTCTTGGCTTCTTTCCTCACTGCTCTCCCCACTCCTCTGCGCCCCCTTCACTTCCCCGTTTTCTTCATCCCCTCCTCCCTTCCTCTCTCTGTCCTAACCCTCCCCCTCCCGTCCCAGCAGGTCGTTCACACGGGAGTGGCAGTGGTGGGAGGGGAGGGGGGCAGAACTTCACTCGGCGGGGATGGGATGGGAGAGTATCGGGATTGGGTCGTCTGAAACAAGGT